TGACAAAGGCTCGCTTCTCAATCTTTACACTGAAGCATTACCTTGGTGCTTCACTACACTTCCTCCCTCCACCCCCACCCCTCCCCTCCCTTCCCCAACACACATACACAAAAATGTTTCTCCACGTTTAACCCGTATGTGTTACTTACTTAACCTTAATGCCGCACCAAGCTTTATTCTAGATCTTCACCAAGCTACCAAGCTTCACCTAAATGTTTCATGAAGATTTAAGTAGATAAACCTGGTAACTTCACTATGAGCTCAACCTGTCATACCCCCCCCTCAAAAAAAAAATATATAAAAAATACCGACTGCGTTATATTCCTCATGATAATTAACATTTGGGTCTCAAGTCACCTGTCGTGCTGTGCTGTCCAAAACAGCATTGCTTGCGTTCTTTGTGACCGGTTCTTCTTCGACTGAAAAAACAAATTAAAATATAGTCAATCAAAAAATTATGTTCAATACAGCAACAAGTAATAAAAATAAATCTAAATAAATAGCCTTTGTATTGAACATATTTTCTCTCCACACTCCACAGCAACCTCTTTGTGCTTCACAAAATATATTATCACCCCAGTAGACCCGAGAGCACTCAGAGTCATTCTCGATTTCCGGGGAAGCATACTGTGCAATAAGCTGATAAGGCGCACAAACACTAACAAATTGGCAAGATGTTTCGCAGTCTATAGCTGGGTACCCATTTCCACCTGGGTGACGAGAGGAAAATTCGTGAAAAGTGCCTTTCCAAAGGACACAAAGTCGGGCCTCTGATAGATTCAAAAACCCTCTTCCTTTCTGTTGCGAGCACTACAGCCAAACAACAGACATCACAAATATGTCTATAGCATTTGTTTTGAAAAAAAAGAAATGCAATAAGAACGAATATTAACATAGTATCGTTAGACATCGGGTTGTAAGGAAACTGCCGTTGTTCCTATTCATTATGTGGTAAGAGCTGAGCGCTTGGAGAATGCATTTTAGTGGACACACATGTTTTCAGAATACCAGCTTTGCATACTGAGCATTTTGAGAATTACAACAACAATAATCCTTTTTCACTCTGTAGGAATAAAACTTTTAAAAATCTTTTTAAACTTACAAATTAAATACCCGACGCCCTTTTGAACACAGGTTGGATCTTTTAAAAGCAGGTGGCTGTACATGAAACGACATCATAGTAAAAAATAAAGAGATGCCCAAAAAAGTAACTTCATGAAAGGGGATACTAGCTGATTTTCTGTTCACTCGAAACAAGGAGGCCATATCATTAACAACATAAAATGTTTGGATTTTCTTCGCCCGACTGTCATAAAACTTCTATAATACGCATCTTACCTTTTTTCGAAACTGTTATTGTAGAGCCTCCAATAACCCCCACTTCCATCAGGGATGAGGAAGAGAATGGAAGGTTTTTCCCTGCAATCTGAAAGATGTAATTGTAACTTTAAGACTGTGTCTGTCTGGCTGGCTGGCTATCTGTCTGTCCGGCTGCCTATCTGTCTGTCTGTTTGTCAGTCTGTCTGTCTATCTGTCTGTATTTCTACGCAAAGAAAACACACGGGGCACATACATTCACTCATGAATACACAGATACAAGAGCAAACAAGCCTGGTCCTTGGAATTAAGATCACAATTTCTGTGTGAGTCCAAGTTAAAAAGTTAAAGCAGAGCGAGAACTTGCATTTATTGAGCAAGTCCAAAAGCCTGAATTTTTTGCTCAATCAGTTAAAGAGGATCCTCGTTGGTACGGTCATAACAACATTAAAGGCGCACTGTACTTCGTAAAAAAAACGACTAATGATAATAATAATAATAATAATGATGATAATGATAATAATAATAATAATAATAATAATAATAATAATAATAATAATAATAATAATAATAATAATAATAATTTTAATAATAATAATAATAATAATCATAATAATCATAATAATAACAATAATAATAATAATAATAGTGCCAGTATTAGCAAAAATAACGTATTAATACATACTAGAAATTGCTTTTGTAAAACGTTCAACCCCAATTACAAAACAAAGACTCTGAGTGTTTCACAAATACTATAGTAATACATGAATATTATGTTCCGACCAAAACCCTGTATATATCTCATTAATCTAAAAACAGAAATGACGTTTGCTCACATTTTAATTTTAAGGTTATATTTCCCTTAAACTACTACATGTAGTCAAAGCGCTCCAAATATTGGGGCCAATACCCTTTGTTTTAAGTTTGATAAATAGTCAATGTAAGTTCTTTTGGTCAGCTGATGACCCTAAACTGCGAGTTGGAATCATATAGAGTTTCAACTGATTTGATGAATATGATGGTGTACTATCATTCAAGTATTTGTGACATAGAGTGGCTAACTTGTACATAAATATTTTCTCAACAAAAAGCAAGTGCTGTCTCCGTAAAAGATGTGTAACAGAGTCTTGTTTTCTTTTCTGTAAAACCAAACGTGCAGCATTGTTTTGAACAGTTTGGAGGCTTTTAACTTTATCCACATACTACCAGATTCATACTGAACCTTTAATTCAAAACTGATTTTTTGCTGAAATCTTCTTTCCTTTTCTAAACCGTTCTCTGAGACAAATAAACGTCTTAGCCATGCCCCCCCCTAAAAAAACAACAACACAATTTAGATCACTGAGATGGAGAGTTACTACTTACTTCGAGGCTGCCTATGTTATGCATCAATAAGATACAACATCCCTACAGAAAGGTGGATATAGTCGACAATTTGTATTTTATTTTTATTTTACGTCTTTCCCACGTAGGGAATTGTACTCACGCTACAGTGAAGTCAGTATATTGAATCACTGTTTGTACCTGAAGCTGTAATTTATTCCTCTCTTCATCCAACTCCTCAGAAATGATGTCGAAGAGAGCAGACACCGGTTCGAGGTTGGAAATGACAATCTCTTTCGACCATCTCTCATCAAGGAGTTCAACGACAAGATCTACATTCTTGGGGACTAAAATCTGCATTGAAATGGAAGAAAAAAAATTCAGGATTACCGCTAGGGTTAATGTTAGATCTGAAATTAAACCTCAGTCACTACAACTTAGTAGGCAAAAGTGTCTCGTACATTTTATAAATAAAAAAATGATCAAAGCAATGGCAGGGTAACATTTTGCTTTATCAGAGAAAAGATTTTAAAAATCGACAAGACAGCTGCTAGTGATGATGGGGATTTTAATACTGCTGCTGCTGCTGCTGCTGCTGC